TTTTTTCAAGATTACAATTCATTTGGAGTTATAGTTTTTCTTTTAAAAGATTACAATTCTTTTGGATATTTTCTTTCTCGCCTGGGAATTTGAGTTCATGTTCCTTCACAAAGATCTACATTTTTTTTAACGTTTCACATAACATTACCATTCAGTTATATTGTAGGTTAAGAAAATCACTAAAATTAACAAACAAAATAGATTTATCAAATATAATCACTCTTCACCTAAAATTTTGTAAAAATAAAAATCATATTAATACACATCTTTTCAGAATGCAAACCTAAAACACAAACCAATAATAAAAACTTTAAATCACAAATAAAATATATCCCGCTCGAAGGACGGTTCGGCCCTAGTATTTAATAATCTGAAAGAGTACAAAAGGGCCAGTTTTATTTTTTACCACAAACCAAAAAACCAGCAGATACTAAAAAAACAATTTAGTTATAATCATGTTAAGCTTAAAAACTTAATTCAAAAAAGAAAAATTTCCTGACTAAACATTTTTAATCCAAGCTTATATTTAAATATTTTAAAACATTTTATACACAAAACTAATTTATTTTAGAGAAACTGAGAATATCTAATAAAATATGTCAATTTTTTATTGAACAATGAAATGTAATAAATTTATAATATATAATATATATATAATAGGATTTTCTCTTTTTCATTAACATATATCTAAACAAGTAAAATACCAAAAATTGAAACATAAGAGCATTTATGGATGACAAAAAAAGATGACAAAAAGAGCATTTACAAAAAAAAAACTTACTCTTCAGTTATCTTTTTATTATTTAAGCCTAATTTTTCAATTTGATAATTATTTAAAGACAATCAAAATGGGTGGGTATACAACTTCATTCATCTTTTTTTTTTTAATGAAATTTGAAATTTATTGATCATCACTGAAACTGGTTATGTACAAAAGAATGAGTTTGTATATGCTATTTTCTAAGTGATAAACTCAAAGTAAAATTACGAATGAGCCAGAAACCATCTCTGCATCAATCCACGCAGCTTTGGCTTCAAGGAGTACTTGGTAGATGGGATTATGTTCTTTATGGTCTTCCTTGTCAACCTAGCAAGTTGATCCACTTTCTTAAACATCCCAGTATGCCGCCGATCGTTTTGTTCCCGCCATATGAAGTAGATCGTAGTCTGAAAAACGAGCCTTAGAAGAATGTAGGTGAGGCGATCATAGGTGCCTTCCAACATACTCTGAATCGTGGTGTCCCAGTCAGGATCCGGGTCTGAGCCAAATAAATTCCCCACAACACTGAGCCACAGAGTGTAAGTAAAAGGACAGGCAAAAAACGGATGGTCCCTTGTCTCATCTGGTTCTCCGCAGAGATGCAAACTTGCTCCTGCCCCCATTGTCTAGTACGGTTCCCTGTAGCTAACCTATCCTTCATAGCCAACCAAGTAATGAACCCATAGCGAGGCACAGCTTGTGGAAACCAAATAAGTTTGCTCCACCGAACCTCCTCCTTCCGGCCACGAAGCATCTGCCAAGTCGTAGCCGATACAAACGCCTCCTTGAAATCGTCCTCCCCACATCTCCAAGAAACTCCATCAGGGACTGGCGTTAGGGAGAGAGGGTACGACATAACAATCTGGATCACATCTCTCATACGCTGAACACGGCAGTTACGGAACCTCCACACTCCATCACGCAGAACTTCACACACAAAAGCTTCCTTTACTATACCCAGCTTCTGTGCACCGATCTCACCCGCAAGCTCAATAATCCGACCCTGAATTGATGATAATGAAAGATACTGAACATTGATTACATATTGGTTTTAAACATTGAATTTATGATAATGAAAGATACTACTAAGCTATTGCAAAACATTTTCTTACTTCGAATAATGTGATTATTTTTTTTAATATGAAAAATACTTGGAACATGGGTGTTAGTCCAAAAGAATGTCATAAACTCCAACCAAGATATCAGGTACAAGAACAATGTTATCAAACATTTTTAGTGTTCAAAAAATCGGAATGCATACTCAGACATCTTATAGAAAACAAAATTTTGAATGCTTAAAAAATTAAAAAAAAAATCATTTTGTTAAAATCCGATTTTTAGAATAGTGTTTTTCAAAAAAAAAAATTCTTGGAAGACATTCAATTCACAATATGATTTTTCTAACTCTTTTTTAAGAACACATAACTTAAGACTTTTTTAATAAGTTGAAAAATATATACATCTTTAAATTTATGAAAATTAATTAAAACATAGATTCAAAAGATATAATCTCCGTGTAGCGCAGATAAAAGATCTAGTATCACTAAACCTTTAATTTCTTTTAATCTTCCGTACTTAGCTTTTGCAAAAAAAAATTCAATAAAAATATTTAATTAACACTTACGTCTAAGAGAATTCAAATAGGCAAAAATGTCATTTAAATCATCAATTTTTAAATTTGGTTGAAATAAAACACAAACTTTCTCGTAAGCCAAAAAAACGTTTAACTTTTGTTGACAAGCAATTTTAATCACAAATTTTCCTCGACCATACCAATTTAATCATATTGTTAGTCAACATTTATAGTTGACTAACAGAAGGCCTAAAATGTCTTTTAAAGTTGATGTTATTTTTTTGCAAAACTATAAATCAACATTTTCTACAATATTGGATATATTTTAAATATTTTTAAAACTGAAACACTAATAAATAAAAGTACAAATAAAACAAATTCCAATCAAAAATATAAATAGAACTCAATGTAAAATATTTAGTTAACATCATTAATTGAGTATCTTAGTTATAAAATGATTACGAAGAATATTTTAATTATTTATGATTAATTTTTGTAATAGTTATATAATCTTATTTGAAATATTTTTTATAATTTTATTTTTAAAATTTTGTTGATGAAATATTAATTCAACTCTTGATTCTTAAACAAAAAGAGTTATCGGTTAATGAAATCTTCATAATTCTTTATATTTATAATAAAGATCTTCAAATAAATCTACATAATTTCTATTAAATCTTTACACGAGTTTTTCTGCATTTAAATAAAAATAAGTTTCACCAAAATCGACAACTCTTTTTGTCAAGAATTGAATTAATTTTCACCAACAAATATTTGACAGTAAAATTATAAAACATAATCTGCATAGGATTATATAAACATTTTTAAAAACAATAAACTAATTAAAAAATTCTCATAATCATTTTTGTAACTAAACTACTCAATTATTGATATGTTAATTAATTATTTTACATCAAGTTATGTTTATATTTTGGGTTGAAATTTCTTTTTTATTTGAAATTTTATTCGTTACTGTTGCAGTTATTTTTGATTTATATTTGTGCCAAAAAGCATCAACTTTAAAAACTATTTTTGGTCTATCATTAGTCAACTATAACTGTTGACTAACAATATGACTAAATTGGTATGGTCGACGAAAGTCTATGATTAAAACTGATTGTCAAGAAAAGTTGAGTATTTTTTTGCTTACGAGAAAATTGGTGTTTTATTTCAACTAAATTTGTAAGTTGATGATTTAAATGACATTTTAATCTCATAAATCCTTAATTTTATTCAACACAATTGGATAATAGTTTGACAAAAACTATCTAGATTTACAACGAATAATCTAATAGATTACTGATGATTAGTACACAATTTTTTTTATTAATACAAAATTCAGCAAAAAGAAATGATTAGCTATACTACATTGAAAAACCAATGGAACCGTTATCTCTCAAAATTTCACAAGCAATCGCCACAACCCTCTGTTTCTTGGTGTTGTTTTCCGGTCGGCTTCGGATCCGACGTCGACCATACTCTATTTACTTTTATTGTTTTCAGTTTATTAGGTTTATAAAGATATGGCATCAAAATGTCTTTCGTTCTATGATATCCGATGTTTCTATCTTTTCTTCTTTCTCTTCTCGAAGAGCATCACTCTGGTGATTGATTTTCAATTTCTTTGGATCAGATCTGCCGGTTTTAGTCTATCGTGTGTAATCTCTGATGGTGGTTTGACGCAATTTACTATGACTAGGTTCGAAGATCTGAAACCGCCTTGGAATTATTTCTCACAATCATTATCAGTTACATTGGAGAACCTTCGTTATCCACTGCATAATGATGCATCGCTTATTTATCGAATGAAGATTTATGGAAATGTGATATTACTTGTTGATGGTGTGAAGTTGCTTTTACGGAAAGATGAATTTTCTCTTTTTGAGTTGTTTGGAAGAAGAACTGGCAGTGAAGATGCTGTGGGGAAGATAGTTTTATCTGGTGATATTGGAGTTATACAAAGGTTTATTATATTTTCTACGACATTGATACGGACTAATTGGTATCAATTTGTCATGGTTCCAAGACTAGTACCAGATATGATGAGTTATGCTGATATGGTTATAAAACAGCCTCAAAATAAAGAATGGCGAAAGAATCATATTGGTGAAAGAAGGTTTTCGAAGAAATATAACGAATATACATTCGTTAGCGAGTAAGACGGTTTTGTTAGATTGAGAACGCATCGTGAATCTTATTTTTTCGTATCGTTTCTAATATATGGCGCACACCGATGTTTTGTGTAATATTTTATTTTCTGTAGTCTTGTATGACTTTGTATCTCTGTAACATATGTTGTTTTGTGTAATAATTTATTTTATGTAGTCTTGTATGAATTTGTATCTCTGTAACATATGTATCATCACGTTCAAGTTAATGGAAATCATATTGTTTGTCGAAAAAAAAAGAAATGATTAGTTACATGCTGATGTATCATTTCTTATGAACACAAGGTACGGAACTATGGAGGGATGATTCATTAGTTATCTCGTTATTGGGTAATCCATGGACCATAAAAGCCCAACATGGATGGAAGGGGTAATAAACCCTAGTTTTAAAGCCAGACCCAAACCTGTACCCGACTTGATCTTCTCTTCTCTCGCCCAGTCCTAATCTTGAATCGACAATCGAATTTAATTACACGACCAATACCTAAAAACCACGACAATGGAAGGCGATCAAAACACATCCGGTTTCACTTTGGTCACAAGGAAGCCTTGCTTCGGTCTCCAAGCTTGCCCTAATTGCCTCCCCGCTTACATATACCTGAAACTAGCCCAGCTTCCTTTTCAACTTGCATTCAATTCCACCTTCCCTGATTCATGTACGAACTTTATGTGTTACTTGTTGCTTCACTGATTGTTAGAATAAGAATTTGCTGTGTAATTAGCTACTTAATTAGGGTTTGAGGTTTGAAAGATTCGTTTTTGAAAGAACTCAATGTGTTTCTTGATGCTTGATTGATTCTTACAATAATGATTTGTTGCTGATAAGATGTTTAATTAGGGTTTTAGGCTATTGTAATTGCTTGCAATAAGAGTCTTAATTAAGGTTTGAAAGATTCATTTTTGAGAGAAGTTATGTTCTTTAACGTGTATAGATGAGCTGCCCTACTTTGAAACTGGGACATATGTTGCATACAACAATGAAGATGGAGGTGTGATTGAGAAGCTGAAGAAAGATGGGGTTGTGAATCTTGACTCTCAGCTTCAGTCTCATCCGGATTATCTCTCCTTGAAGGCACTTATTTTGTCTTGGCTTGAAGAAGCGCTTGCTTATGAAATGTGGGTTGGTACGGAGGGAGTATCTGCGTGGAAGATCTACTACGCGGATCTTCCTTGGGTGATCAACAAGGTCCTGTTTTATAAGCAGACTAACATGGCCAAGACCCGTTTAGGAATCACCAAAGAAAACACAGAGGAAGGAGAGAAACAGGTACAGTTGCTTGAGCTTTCTGTGTTTGTATGAATGTATAAGTCTAAAGGTATTTGAATGAACAGATATACAAGAAGGCAAGTGATGCATATGAAGTTTTGTCGACTAGGTTAGGTGAGCAGAAGTTTCTTTCTGAAGACAGGTACTGCAATCACATTTACCAAAACTTGATTTGTATTCTTTAATAGAAGATTCACAATGTTGTGCACTTCCCAACAGGCCATTGAGTTTGGAAGCTTTCTTTCTATCACACATACTTTTTACAATCCAAGTGTTACCGGTAAGCAGCTTTACATCATTCAAACCAGTACACTTTTTGTGTATTCGATTAAGATTTGAAGTAGTTTCGTTATTGTGGTGTATTATCAGGAAACATCAAAGCTTCGGTGCAAACTTCTGGAACATGGTAATCTTGTCAGATATGCTGAGAAACTCAAGTTATATTTCCTTGAAGCCTCTTCATCATCTTTGCCCCCACTTCACTCATTCCCTTCCTCATTTTCAAAAAAGGGTTAGACACATATCCAAACCTTACTAAGACTTCCATATCTTATAATTTTCTTACCATGCATCTGTCACATATGCGACAAAACTGGAATGAATCTCATCAGGTTCGAAGGAAAATAGCAAACCAAAGGCTGAAAAGACTGAAGAGGAGAAAAAATTCAAGAAAAGAGCAAAGTTCTTCCAAGCTGCTCAGTTTCTAGCCGTCGGTATTTACTTATCTGTGATGGGAGGAGTTAGTAATGATGAACTGGAGTATGAAGATGATGATTAGTACAACTAAAGCTTCTCTTATTATATGAACCAGTAACTCTTTTTCACTCTTCTTCATAGACACAATAATCTCTCTTCTTTTTCTTGAATTTTTAGTTAGAGAGAGGATACATACGTGAGAGTAGTCACACATTGTGATGGTTTTCGTCCGAAGGAGATTCTAGTAACTTTCTCACTGGGTTTAAATACAATGTATTAGCAGAATCCGAAGTTGTTCATCCTCAAAATCAATTGAACTAACTCTGTTTTGTCTTAATAATACAAATCTCATCCATCTAAAAACTATCTTCTGATAGCAAAAGATGATAGCCAAGAAACCTAACATAATTTTCTAAACTCTCTGAAACCAAAAAAACAATTAGGAATTGGAATTTACATCTGGACGTTTCCCTGACATGGTAGCATCAGCAGCAGCGTCCTCTGGTTGGTTAACAAGCTTTGAGTGTTCATCAGCCGAGTTGATGGAAAACTCAGCTAGTGAACTAACTGCAACATACATTCCATGGCAGAGAACTTTAACAGCAACCTCTGCAAGTTTCTCAACAGTCATCACAACATCTTCTTCCACTCTATCAGCCAACACAAGGTCCAAGCTCTCTGGCCCGGAATATCTTCTTGACCCGCTTCCGCTCCAGTTTGGATCTTCCTTAACCTGTCTTGCATAGACTCAACCCATCCCGGAGGCAAAGAACTTGAGTTTATCCAAAACAGGCTTCTCGTTCAAGCTGTTGAGCAGCCTCGACCACTGGATGCAGACTCCTATATATCGGGTGAGGACATGAGGATAGTCTAACTTTCTCAGTGTCAGGATCATATCTGAGACATCTGAGAAGCCAACCAGACAATGCTGTCATATAGGATCTTTTAGATGTGATCCAGAACTCGAAATAGGCTCTCCAGTTTTGAAGCCGAGCTTCAATATTCAAAGCACATTGAGCTAATATTTGTGAATTATTGGACTCTGGCATTATTGGAGGCTGTTGTCTCTTCTTGTGATGCTTTGAAACTGGTGTCCCTGCAAGCAACATCTTCGCTTCATCCAGTGTTCGTCTCTGAATCTGATGACTCTCTGCCATCACTTGCCACATCCTTGTTAATCTGTCATGACACCACTTGTCAGTCTTGTATAAAGAGAACCAAAGAGGAAGAAGAAGTTGGTGTTTACCCTTGAACAAGCTCGAGAAGCTGAGGAAACAATTCTTGGTCACGAAGAGTCTCAATCCTTTTCGAGATAAATTCAATGAAGTGTATAGAGACCTTTATCTGTGTGTCTAGGTCTCTGATCGTAGCTCTTGTTTTATCAACTGCAAAAGGATCATCTCCTTTGACATCTTGATTCCTCAGCTGCATGCATTTCTTCTCGTATGCTCTTCTAACACGTTCTCCAGACTGTTACAAAACCACAAAGGGATGTTCATCTATAAACAACAGAGTAAACTAGTCACTACTTGCTTAGAAACTCTTGTTACTTACCTTAACTTCATCGTAGAGTTTCTTCTCTCACGCGAAAAGGTTGTCCAATGTTGTTTGGTGGCTACCTGAAACCATGCAAGGTTCATCTGAAGCATCGCTTCTACTTTCAGAGCCACTATCCTTTGAACCACCAGAAGAAGAAGTAAGCAAGAATCTTGAAGAGGAAGATCTTGATGAGCCCGAGCGAAACAAAGCTACTGGATTCAGCTTTTTCATGGCTACAAAAGAAACACTTACTTCAACATGCACAAACATAGAAAGATTGAATCATATTCATGAACTTACCACTATGATCTCTAGAGGATGGTGCGTACTGAGCTCTACTTGCTTCCAAAAGCCCCGAGACTTCCTTAGCCACATCACAAATGGTTGTGAACTGATCTTCAAGATCTTTGATCACCTCAGCCATGCTCGTTGGTCTCATGTTCACATACACAGTGAAACCTGGCGTCTCTTTTTTTGCAACATTAACTACATTCTTCCCCTCTTCAACAACAACATTCCTTGTAGTTTCAGCTCTAGGCACCTCAATTGTTCGCTATTCTTGCTTTCCAATGCATTTCTCATCTCCTTCGTTCTCACTTTCACACCCACTATCTGTAAACTCATCATCATCATCATCATCATCATCATCTTCGTTCTCATCAACATCTTCAACTTTAACTTCCTCCTCGCAACAACTCTTGCGTTCTTCTACAACTACTTTGGGAGTATTATGACTCTGAAACCTCACAGGCTGATTAGGTTCATCATCTTCTTCCAAATCTGGAATCCCTTCTTCCTCACGAACACATCTCAGTCCTCTTATCTCATCATCCATAGTACTACTCCTATTATTATCAACACTTGCTCTATCATAACTATTATTATATCCATAATAATCCAAAGAAGAGAACGGATTCCAGAAGAAGTTCCACTGAGAGTTCTGCGGTGAAGGAGGTGGAATGTTATGAGTACTCAACCTCTGCTGCTCAGGAGAGCTCAACGGGTTCCAAACGAAGAAGAAGAAGCTGCAGAAGTGTTCATGTTCATGTTCATGTTCATGTTCATATTCATCCCAAAGAACCCATCTCCTTCTCCATATTCATATGACTCAACACGAAGCGTTTCAGGAAACCTCTCTTCAACACGAACCGGTCTGGTTCTGTTAGCCATCAAGTAACTCGCTCTCACCTTCCTTTTTGGCTTATCTTGAATCATTTTATCAGGAGGCATAGAAGAAGGTGAAATTGTTATAAAATCACCACCACCGCCGCTTATGCTGCTACAGCGGCTTCTGCTGGGTGGGAGTCTCTTAACCGGAGTCACGAACGAGTCCTGAACGAATTCGTGAGGCTTGTAGTTGTCTCCTTCGATGAAGTCATGGAGAGTGTCAAAGACTTTTCTAAGTGACTGAATATAAGCAATGTGACTAGAAGCAAACTTGGTTCTATGTTCTATCGCTTGTTTGATGAAACGTTTCCTGTCTTTGCAGATCCGAACAGATTCCTCGTCGTCTAGCTTCGAATGAGAACATCCCATTTCTTTCTCTCTCTTTTTTAAGCTGCTTCAAAATCTACAGATCAAGAACTAACTAATAAGTAGATTGCAAAGAAAAGGACATTGTTTTTCTTACTTAATGCCTGAAGAAAGATTCTTAGCTTAGTTTACAAGCCTCTTCTTAAACCCTCTTCAAGAAAAAAAAACTAAAACGCATGCACAGATTTTTCATATAAAAGGAAGTGAAGACTGGGTTGAAAATCTTGGATTGGTTCTTGTGAAATGTTAAAAGAAAAAACAAAGAAGAAACCCATAAAAAGAGATAGAGAGAAGACAAAAGGGAGAAACCTAATAGGGGTTATGTAATGGTCAAAAGAAATCTAGGAGGAGCATGAGGATTACTGTGGAGTAGAGACGTTGGAGAAAGCAATGATCAAAAGTATTGTCGGACTTCAAAGGAGAGAGAGAGAGAGAAGTCAAGAAGGAGAAGAAGACAAGCCAAAAAAGAAAAGGACACAACACAATAACTTTGATTAGTGTTGTTAGCAGGGGTATTTTCGTCATTCATATAGTATTCAGCAGTGGGAAAAAAAATACATCGGAAGAATTTAGGAAAATAAAAAGTAAGGACCGACCTGTAATAGTAAAAGGCGGATTCTGGACCCACATGATCAAAAGATTTCATCAAGTGCCTTGATGCTTAGGATTTCTCTTCCTGTCCCTGGTTTTTTCATTTAATCATGGAAACACCATTAGGTTTACCAAAGTAGTTTACTAGTCCCGGTCTTTTTTCAGTGGGCTCACGTTTTGATAAATAAATGACCCAATGGGCTTTTCTGTCATGACGTGGATGATAATAGATTTAGCACATAGCATTGTTGTTTTTAACTTGAAATCCGTAGAGCTTAATTCAGTCCCAATCTGTTTTATTGGGCCAATAGTTTCCAGGGTTCCATAGATTTTAGACATGTATATAGGTCCATGTAACAGCAACAAAAAAAAGACATGTATATGGACCTGGTCTAATACAGCAAATAAACTGAATAGCATTTAAATATCAAACCAAAAATTGGTTTGGGTCGGATTTCAATATGCTACTCTTAGAACATCTCCAGAAGATACTCTATAGCATTAAATATAGAGTTTTTTACTGTCCAAAAAGAAACTCAAAACTTCAAAGTTAAAGTTTTGGGGAGTGAAACTTCATATACTTCATATTTGAAGTTTCAATTCTCAAAACTTCAAATTTGAAGTTTCATCTTATTATTTGCATTTTGGTCCTTACAATTAATTAAATATTATATTTATGATTTTCAGTATTTTCTCACTTAAAAATTTAATCGTTAAAATTTTTATATTTTATAAATATTTGAGATTTGTTTTTATAAATTTCAGTTTTATACATAAAACTTTAAAATAAGATTTATATTATTTTAAAACTAAAACTAGACTTCACAAATACTACAAAAGAAACTTTTCAAAAACGTTTTAAAAAGGTGAATGAAAACATAGTTATTACATAAATTTAAATATTACAACAGTATTAATAGTATGGTAAATTTGCTCTGAAACCTTCAAAATCTCCGAAATATTGTCCAAATAAGTATTGTGTAACTGAAAATAAAGCATTCTGGAAATAATTTTATGAAATGATGTGATATTTTGTTTGTCGTATTATTTAGTTATGTATTTCTATTTATAATTTTATATTTTAGAGTAACTATTTTTAATTAATATTATTGTTATATTTTTCATATATGTGCTAGTTATTTATAAAAAAATTTATGAATTTATATTAATTATGACAAATATAAGAACCAAAGAGTAAAATATAAATAATTTTAAAATTAGATTTGAAGTTTTGCTTTTGGAGAAGAACACCTTGAAACTTCAAAAATAGAGTTTTACAAACTCTAAAATAGAGTGTCTTTTTGAAGATCCCTTAAACCCCAACATTGCTATGTGCTGGGGTTCTTACTAGTTAAAAAAAAAAAATCAAAAAGTAAGAAAGTATATCAGAATAAATTCTTGCATGTCTATTTTAAAGAACTCATATAAACCTCTTGAGTAATACAAAAGTTATATAAAAATAAAGCATTATCAAAGTATTAATATTTTTATCATAAAGAATCTAATGGGAGTATATTCTATGAAGATGTTCTTAAGAGCATCATTATCCCAGCAATTGACGAAAATTTGCTTAAATTTTTTTTTGTCTAAAAATAAAATAAAATAAAAATGCATCAATAACGAATCGCCATATGTTGGTAGGATCCGCAAACAGTATAAGTAATGAAAAAATTTTGGTGCTTATTTTGCATGTGGAAGCGACGAAGCTTGTGTTTTTTATGGGCCCTAGGCTATAAGCAATTCACAAATTGCTGGGATAATGATGCTCTAAGATAATGTATCATCATAAAATTTAGAGCTGAGTAAGCTGCCATTAGAAAAATGTATATGAACCGCTGGTTCCTTCTATGCATTTTCCTTTTTTTTACCCATTCAATGATAGCACATTAAGTCATTAACATGAATTGTTTATTTGTAGTTGTCTTTGATTGTTTCCTTATCTCAAATGGTTCACTTATATGACAAAAAGTTCCATTTTTACTTCTTTTTTTGCCAGCTAAAAAGTATTTGTATAGAGTATCAAATTATCAGAGAAATCAGTGCCAATGCCCGTAGACGGGACCAATATTAATGGTATACCCTCTTATGTTAGGGCTGGGACGGATCCGGATATCCGGGAAATTTGAACTATTCGGATCCGAATTCGGATTCGTCGAATCCGTGATTTTAATATCCGGATCCAGATTCGTGTCTTCCGGATATCCGGGCTTCGGATATCCGTCTACATATTGTAATTTGGTGAAATTTGGTCATTTTTCCCTCCCTAATCGTATTTTTTTTGGTTTACTTCCAATTTCTTACCATGATACTTGGTGCAATACCTTTTACAAAGAATTTGATATTTACAAACGTTGCAACTCTTTTTATCGACATACACATGCATGATTCTTAGTTAAGAACATGAAAGAGAATAGTCCGATTAAAATTGTGCAGACACTCCAGGACTGAGGTTGCTGCATCCATGGCTTCAAAGTTTTTGGTGTTCAAGGATAACGATCTTCATGATTCAGCAACGTTTTAAAAATAGGCAAAGCATATGTTCAATTTTCCAGACACTTAAAGAGACTCTTACAGTGTACTGGAAGCTAACAGTTTAACAGGGTATTCTCTCTGGAGGTCAAGCACCTGGTTGGCACACTGTCATATATGGACCATTCGGTAAATGTTTACAAGAAAATTTGAGTTTTTCAAATTAAGTGATGATTTATGTATTGTTGTATCTTGGAGGTCTACTATTAATTTGTAATTTTCTTTGCGGCTTCAGGTGACTTTCAGCTAGAAGAAGACATTTTAAGAATTTAAGGATGGTCCAGCTGGTATCACGAAATGCAAAGAGGTTTACTTGAATGCATAATTCATTCAGCTTTAAAGAAACAAGATACTTAGACCACAAGCTTTGTGAATGATTGTATTCTACAAATTTTCATCATCATTTAAATCTTTGTGTTGTAGACATTTCGCTTTTCAAGCATGTGCATATAGCTCAAACTTAACTTTCGAAGCTCTAGCTACAAATTAAAATACCTAAATTTGACATGGATGCCTTGAATTTTTCATGATTTCTCTTTCAATGACCTCGAATGAACTTTATATATACATAACATTTTAATTGCAGACATAGAACTGCGATTTTCTGCTAATTACACCACAATGTTGTATATAAAAACTCAGAACCTTATTCTACACCAACTACTCACTCCATATGTGTGTCTTAAGAGCCAGGGCTCAGGATTCATTTCATAAAACATACTTAAGAAAGTGGTGTAGCAGGAACAACATAACATTTTAAAACTATACAAAACGTAACTATTAAATAAACAAAATAATATTGTAAATAAATTTAAAATATTTTTTAAGAATCAATAATAAAATAATTCAGGTCCAATAATTTTAACTGTAAAAATTGATTAATATAGTAAGAGAAATAAAACAATAATGATTTAAAATTATATATATTATTTTTTAAATAATTAACATAAATTAAAAAACATATCTACTGTTTCATAATGTTTTGTAATTAAAAAAAGCCATGTGTCTTATTGGTACAACTAATCTAAAATAATACTAAGAGAAATTAAGTAATTACATTTTCTATAATTAGAAAAATATTACTTTCTAAAAATAATTTCTAAATACATAGATAAAATGTTTTTAAAACAATTAACCTTAATGGCAGTTTTAGTTAAAAATAAATTTTAAATAAATTTTTATTAGTAATTTATTTACTCGCCCGCCCGTAGGGCGGGTCGACCCTAGTTACATATATATTTCAGTTACTATATTTTATCAACCTATCCAATAAAAATATATGTTAACGTTAGGCTTGTGGTTATGTTTATACTTAGATGCTACGACGTACACTAAATAATTTATTTTTAAGCGAAAATTTATATTTTATCAATCCATTATATCTATGTTTTCTTCTAAAGTATACTGATTTAATCTTTCAATTTCAAAATAACAGTTAAATCACAATTAATATTATCAATGGCTACTACCATTTGATGTATCCCACTAACAAAAATTTAGTCTATATATTTGTAACGGCTAACCAACAATATAGCGATGATACCTAGCTAGTTAGTCCCTTATAAGACAACATAGTCGTTAAGACTTTAAACAATATGATATAAAGCATATTTTTTTTAAATGTATGCCCATATACAACAATGTTTACGTTTTAATGTGTAGCCATGGTTTGTAACGGGTGCGGTTGACAAGTATAGTGTTGAATAGAGTAATAATCAACTAATCCCCCTATATACTAAAAGAGAAGTCACTTTGACACGTGGCACTCACACAGCCCTTCTTAGAAAAATTCTAGCGATTATATTGGTTGATTTTTTAGAAATTATTTTTGATTTATTTTTACCATCGACACTACTAAAAAGGAAATTCATTTAAATACTTAC